AGGGTACCTCAGGTGGCCTTTTCCCCTCCCAAAAAGGGTGAGATAACTCCGGTGAGATTACTATTCCTAACGCGGTGTTTTTACCTATGATGAACTTACTACTGACATTCAAAGACTACTGGTACAACGGAATAATGTTCCTTAATAGTGAACAAAAAAAAAAAAAGTATGGAAAAAGTTGTTTTAGGTTTGTTCTGGGTTTACAATTCCGTTTTTTCCTCAAACTAGGACATAAGAACGTGCCGACTACTATAAAACCATAGGGTGAGTACCGGTACGCCAGTTGCCAGTGATGTCCAAAGTAAATAGGCGGGTCCCCCCTGGTGATGTTTAACAATATCATTAATAAACTCTCAACGAACGTTGACCCGTCAAAAATAAAATACTTGATTTAACACGATAAAGTACAATACATTTTTAAAAAATGTTTACCAAAGAAATTTTATACGCGACCGTGTCGAAGACCTTACAACAAAATAAAAACGTGACTTTCCTGACTGTAAACGGTAAGACATTGCAAGAAGTTAAATATATTTTTTTTCTATACCGCTGTCTGGCGAAAAATTAATTTTGAATGCAACTAATACTGGTGGATTTAGGACACAGTCTATATGATAAAAGGACTACATAACCAATTTTTGAGATTTGTTTTCTGACAAGAAGTAACAATAGGCGACAATAGTTTCTGTTTAATAAAGGTTTTTTCCCTGCAGACCACTTACCTCAGGTTCCCCAAAATTTCCTTTTTATTGACTGAGCAAAGCTACGTTTTACAATTAAGGGGTTTAGGAATCCGTCTTATAGATTTTTCTGCGGCTTTACGCCGACGTAAGAGAGAGAAAGACAAAGAGAGAAACCAAATGGAATGGTAATACGCCACTAGTCCCGACGGTTCTGATTAGGTCATACCGCGGTGTTTCACTTAACATTTCCTCTTCCGTAACAATAGGACGAAATGCCAAACGGTTATATTTGGATAAAAAAAAGAACTTCCGTATTAGAGGAACTCAGTCAGCAGAACAGGAAAAGTGATTTCCCAAAACGTTCCTATCGTATGACAAAGGGTTGGAACCTGACACGATATTGTTTACTTTGACAACACGAAGTACTCACTACCTATAATCAAAGTATCTATAAACAATTCCCCAAATTTTTTTTCCAATACTATTCTTTGTTCGACTTTGTTAATTAAGAGATCTCCTTGAACTTCTCTTCGTCGTATAAACTTTCACTTCGGTACCCTTGAAATTAGACCGTGTAAAACTCTAAGGGTCGACAAACGAGACGAGTTTCTGTGGTTTCTCGGTAGGCTAATGAAGACGGATTCGGAAAAATTATGTATTGAAGTCAATGGAGAGAGAAAGATTATCTTTCGATCCCGTTTGAATTATGCCACGAATTACACATATGATGTTTGCGAATTTAAAAGATAATTTTGCAAGTCAAAAAAAAAAAATGTGTCGTAAAACTGTGAAGTAACACATTTGTTTGTGTGAAACGCTCAATGAACTACATCTCTGGTCTCGCACTCTCACAACAACACACGTCACCAAGATGGCCGTCACTACTGTCTTGTCAACAAAACGATTGACTACCCTCACTATCACCACAATGAAACATGTCCAGAAGAATGTCATGCAAAGCTGCCTGCCTGACTTTGATTCTCACTGAACTGCCTGATCTTTTTAATGTTTAATGTCAACCATTTGTGCAGATAGCATGAAGTAGAACAGATCGCTAATGTAGCGTTAGCGTTAGCATTTCTCCCCAGGACTTAAATGGTGTATTATCGAATGATCACACCAGTGTGACAGTACTCTTCAAAGGGTTCACGAAATATGATTACTACTCTTACTGTTTAACATTTTGGGTTACTTAATGTTACTTCATATTAAGGCTAATACAAATGAAAAGGCTGTAATGCTAACTAATGTGCTAGCTACTAGCTAGGTAGCTAACTTGATCCAGCAACTCCTGAGGCCTGTACTACGAAGCTGGTTCAACCCATAGGTTCAACCTAACCTGGATATGTTTGAGTTAGCCGGTTGGCCTAATCCAAAACATACGCGCTAAACTGTACTACGACGCGGGTTATCAAGTGGATCGCTCAAGCTAGCCGTGCCCTATCTAGTTAGGTGCGCGTTCACATGAAAGGGGTGGTATTTGGAGCATTCGACCAATCGCAAACATGGACAAGCATACTGACAGCGCAGCGTCATCCTGAATGAAAAGTCATCTATAATATTAGACATATGAAGAAGTTAAACTTTAAACATCCATGACTTAAAGCCACATAGTTGCACCTGCAAGGTGAATACAGCTGGTAAAAGAAAAAGTGTGTGAATGTGTACATTAACAGGTTTATGATATCACTGCCCTGTCTAAGACACGATCTGACTTTAATTAAATTTGTCTCGAGTGTTTCGTCAACTTAATGTGTTGCTTAAAATAATACTTCTGCATACAGTAGCCTATGTGACACTGTGAGTGTTGCACGGCCAGATAGGCTACGGCTCAGCTGACTCAGATAAGGAAATATATGATACATTATAATGTGATATGCTGCGGACTGTACTTAATGTTACTCTGATCCGGTTACTTATGTTGTGGCAGATATTTAAGTAAGCTTTCTTAACGCCAATGTGCTGACTCTGGCCGCCTCAGCATCCTCATCCTCCTGGACCTCTCTGCAGCATTTGACACCATCTCTCACAACATCCTCCTCACCCGCCTCTCAGACCTCCTAGGTATCACTGGCACAGCGCTGTCTTGGTTCACATCCTACCTCCATAACAGGAAACAGTTTGTCTCCATCAATGGCTCTAATTCACCCCCGGCCCCAGTCCACCGCGGTGTACCCCAGGGCTCTGTGCTCGGCCCCCTCCTGTTCACCATTTACATGCTCCCCGTCGGCCAGATCATCCAACATCATGGACTCAATTTCCACTGTTACGCTGATGATACCCAACTGTATCTCAGCACCACTCCATCCTCCCAGCTCCCCCCTCTGTCTCTCATCAACTGCCTGCATGACATCAAAGCATGGATGTCATGCAACTATCTCAAATTAAACAGCAGGAAAACAGAGCTCATGGTTGTGGCACCCAAGGCGCTGCTCCAGAAGGTTGGTGACTTCATCCTCGAGGTTGACGGCTGCTCCATCTCCCCATCTCCTGAAGCCCGCAACCTGGGTGTCATCCTCGACTCCACCCTCTCCTTCCACTCCCACGTCAAGTCTGTGACCAAATCGGCCTTTTTCCATCTAAGGAACATTGCAAGACTCCGACCGTCACTCTCGGAGTCGGTTGGCGAAACCCTAGTCCATGCGTTTGTCACCTCCCGAATCTTACTCCTCTGTAGACTACCCGTATCTACTCTTTAATGTTCATGCTACCCACTCGCATCCCCTCAGAGTTTTTGGTGTGTGCTACGTGTCGCTAAGCACGGTCTTGCGCCAAAAACAAAACGCCAGTCCCCTAAATTTCTTTGTTATACACCTCCTAGTTAATAAAAAGGACATAAACCTAAAATAAATGTACATATACTTTGCTTGTGTAAAACACACCGTTGAACTTTTGTTTTCCACACCAATACTTTATTGTTCACACTAGGAAACACTTGATCACAACGAACGTGGAAAAATTCCGGGTAAAGAAAAATATGAATCATACGTGTTTTCCCAAACTAAGATACTAAACGAAAATACGTGAACCGTGTAGGACACAGAAGTCTAGCCTCAACAGAATATCATCGGATTAAATGGAAAAACATCGTTGTGATTAAAAATATATTACCGTTTCTTCACCAAGTCGACACAGAAAAGAAAAAGGACACAGGATAACAGTCGGTGAACAGTTACATAGAAATTTGTAAATGGGTGACATCATACCTGATTATTACCGTACACCTATTAGGTTGCGGCATAGTGTTGTGACAACACATTGAAGTCCATTTAGAAACATCCGATACACACATTCTAATCTGTCTCCATTCTATTTCCAGACGTCATAAAATCTTCATAATTAGCATGTTCCGTCAAATATGTGTCATCTTCACAATAAAGGGACATTCATCCGACAGGGGGCATTAACCTGCGGGAGATAAAACCTGACCATCTAGAGCCGTCTGACCGTTGAAATTTCATAGAGAGCCAGTTTTTCCACCTGGGGACAAATCTACTAGGTATATGTTAAGGGTAGACGCGTTTTCCAGTGTATGAAGGACAATTCCCTATGTTGGTTTTCTAAACTTGGTACCCTGGGGTTTTGCCTCTGGTAACGTCATC